GTGCTTTTTTATTTTGCTGACTTATTCAAGCAGGGCTAGCTCAGAGTTCAGGTTTGTAACAAGGACTTACTAGGAGATGGATGAAAAAGTTCAGGTTTATATGTGTAAATTGTCCATTACTGTAGATACATACACTAGTCCAAGCATTAGAGTTTAACTGCACTGCCTAAAAAAGCCCAAAGATAAACTTCACAATAAGCTGATAATGTGGAATGCAAGGAGGAGATAAAGAATTGGGTTTCTGTTTTATTCATAGGCTCAGTCTTAGCTTCAGTCTTTTCTGAGCATTTGTTTATTTGTAAGATGGAAGTCAAAGAAAGTGGGAAGTCTTTAGGTCAGCCCTATTTTCCATGCCTGACCTTGACCTCTTCTCAGATGTTCTTAGTTGGTCCAGAGAGAACTAAAAGAAGTTGTTTTCTTGGACTATAGGGCAGCTGCAAGGTGGGGTGCCTTTCATACGTGTTCCTTTTTCACTAAAAGACTCAAAATGCTTTAGCAGCTAGATCTGGGACTAACTCTTTGAATGGGGTAGGAACTTCCCTGCCCTTCCCTTAGGGGGAAGCTCATGTTTCCAAGTCAGACAGCAGGGGGCATGGATGCCTTTCAGACAGAAGGAAGCTGCCTAAGCTAGAAGGCCTGCCTGCTGTAGTTTATTTCTTTTGCCTTGTTCAGTGAATTTAGCCAGAGGTGGCTGAGATTGAGGCTGTGGAAGCCCCAAGAAGCTTCCTTAATGTGCTGCCTCATAGCTGAGCTTATAGGGCCAGTAGTAGGATGTTGTCCCCTGGGATATGCAAGGTTATCTCAAGCAGACATGAGCCTCCATCACTCCCACCACTCCTTGCAACTCAGCCTCCTCTTCTCAGCCTGTGCCTTCATCCAGTGCTAGTAAACAGTGCCAAATGAATATAGTTGTTCTCCGACTCTTCTCTGGGGGTTCATTGGCAGCTGCTGCTTTCTTCATTTTTTAAAATTTGTTTGCCACTTGGTAAAAGCCACTGAGATGGTTTTTTTCTAGCCTTGGGCAAGTTGGAGCTTTGAAATCTGGAGTGAATAAGGTCATCTGGATCTCACTGTCTTCTTATGAAGCCAGCACTAAGCTTGGGCAGTCACTCACCCACCCCTAGGTCCATATCTGGGAATGAAGCCACCCCTGACCTATACATAGAAAATGATTGATGTGCCTGGTCTTATACCCAGTCTCTGTTTGGTTTCTCTACCCCCAGTGCCCTTTGGCTTAGGCTCAGGATGGGTGGGCCTCCCTTCCCCAGCAGCTGCCCTAGCAGCTGCCTCAGACCTGATCAAGGGCAGTTGTTTGTTTCAAGGTGAGTAGTGGTTTTTAGACCCTGCTCCCACACACTGCTAAGTCTGTGTTTTCCTTTCTTCCTGACCAGGTAAACTGTCTTGAGCCCCACCCTCACCTGCCTGTGTTGGCAACCAGTGGCCTAGACCATGATGTGAAGATATGGGCACCCACAGCTGAAGCTTCCACTGAGCTGACAGGGTTAAAAGATGTAAGTGGCTGACTGCAGAAGTTATTTTCTTTCTGCTTATTCACATACTGTTGATTCATTGTCATAGGAAGGAATAATTTGCTGCCCAGTTCTTTAAAGGCACTACTCTAACACCCTCCCCTACATTCCTGTAATTTCCTCTGTAGGAATAGTCCTGCTCCAGGGGGCAGCTGTGAAGTGGCACTAATTTGTAATAGGATGGGGATGAGGAGCATCTTCAAGAATTATTTTGTGTTAAAGCCTGCCACCTTCACAGAGGCTGAACCTAGGGCATTGTTTCTTAATCTAATGTAGCTCCATTTCAACTTAATGGGGAGCTTTTATTGGGATAGAACATCAGCTTTCTTGATGAGGTCCCCGGTCCATCTTCATTGCTGCCCCCGTTCCCAACCCTTTTGGGTTCCAGGTGATTAAGAAGAACAAGCGGGATCGGGATGAAGAGAGCTTGCACCACACTGACCTGTTTGATAGTCACATGCTGTGGTTCCTCATGCATCACCTGAGACAGAGACGCCACCACCGGGTAAGCGGGGGTTGGAAGTGACCTCCCAAGAGCAGTGACCCTCTCAAGAGGCCTAAAAAGTTCCAGAGTAGTGAGTTTAAGGAGGAATCTGGTGATCTTGGTCGGATTTCCTATCCATTGTCCTCTATCCCCATCAGATCCCTGATACAGCCTTGGAAGAAGCATCAGCAGAAAAGGGTGGTATCTACTCTTGTCCATTGCTGCCATCCATGTGTAATGCTATCTTCATAAAGGCAAAGGCTGGAGTGTGGAGGAAGGAACTGAGAAGAAATAAGTCTCAGTGTGACCCTTCTATTTTTCTTCTTAAGACAAAAGAGGCCTAGGTCAGGAGTTAGCAAACTAGCAGTTGGCCTGCTGCTCATTTTTGTAAATAATAGTTTCATTGGGTTGCAGCCACACCTATTCTGTGTATCATCTGTGGTTGCCTTCATGCTACAATGGCACAGTTGAAGAGTTGCCATAAAGACCATATAGACCACAAGTCTAAAATATTTACTATCTGGCCCTTTAAGAAAATTTCTGCTGATCTCTTGCCTAAAGCATCTAAATTCTAGCTAAGACCTAACAGGCTAGTCCTTGTTCCTTCCACGGAAGTTACTAACGAGCCTTTCCCATCCCACAGCGCTGGCGAGAACCTGGGGTTGGGGCCACAGACGCAGACTCTGATGAGTCTCCCAGCTCCTCAGACACATCGGACGAGGAGGAGGGCCCTGACCGAGTGCAGTGCATGCCATCTTGAGGCCTCATACCTAGGTGGGGCGGGCTGGGGCTGCCAACCCGATCCTGCCTGGGCAGCCCTTTCCTGTCCCAGGCCCTACATTCAGCAGAAACGCACTTTGGACTTTTTGCTTTAGATAAAAGAAAGACGTCCCAGGAGAAAGGACAAACCAGAGGAGTGAACCAACACAGAATACCCAGGAATGGGAGTGGAGCCCTGGTATGGGCCTTCATGGAGAAGTGCATAGGACTCAGCAGAAATGGCCTCTCCCCAAAGCCTCTTTTTGAGAGGAGAGGGAAGCCTATTTTGTTAACTGGTTTGGGATAGGGAATGGGGTTTCTTTTTCTTTAATCTCCCTTGTTTCTTGGGCAGGGGGGTGGGGGGAACAACTGGCTATTCAGTACCAAGGGGCCAGAGTGGAGGGTAGGAGTGCCACTCTCTCTTTGGTTTAGGTTTTTGACCTTTTCTTGTTTTTTTTTTTTTTTTTTTTTTTTTTAAATCTATGACAGTTGGGTTTTCTCCCCCCCTCAGCAACCCCATCCCAGGATCCTATTTTTCTGGGAAGTCCTTAAAGCCCCTAACCATCCCACACTCTTCACTTTCCCTTCCACCTCATTCATTCTCTGTACTTATCACAGTGTTTTGCACTTGATTACATATCCGTCACTCTCTTCTCTTCATCCGTCACCTCTTAAATAGGTCAGGTGAAGGAGATTGGGGAGAGGTGGGAGGAGGGGCAGAATCAAAGGAAGAATAGGAAGGATGTTACCTCTTCTGTTATTTTTTTAAAAAATATTGTTTGTTGGCAGCAATCTCCCTGTCCCTATCACTGTTAGAGGCCTAATTTTATATCTATAAATATATTAAAAAGCAAGTCAAACTTGGATGTATCAAGGTAAAATTATTGTCAAAGTTTAAATACCTATATATTCTCTATGAATACAATAAAGGGACTTAAAGGACGAGTGAACAAGAGTAATGGTGTGGAGGTGACACCTGGAGTCACTTTACCTCTGTGTATGGTCATTAGAGATTGGAACTTACCCTTTAGGTTTTAGGAGGCTCGAGAATGAAAGGATCCTCATTTCTGCCCTTCCTGGTTCCCTGCCTTGGTGTGGGGGGTTGGGAAAAACAGGAAATTCCTCTCAGCTTTTTGCTTCAGATCTCCTACCTCTCCTTAAGTCTTGTGGCGGGGTTCCAAGGATGGCTCTTCTAACCAACTTGACTAAACTACTTTAGGGTGGTGTCACCACTGCAGACTGTTGTGGTACTGTGTGACAGAAGACATGTACATACACACCACACACGGGTACACACACACTCTGTCTCACCTTTTGCTGCTTGATTCTTTAAGCCATCCAAATTCATGCCAGTTCCCTTCTTTACAGAAGAGTGAAGGCAAAGACTTCCTGGGTTTGACTTATACCTTGTCCACCTCTTGATATTTTAGGATTGAGGAACAAGTCATTAATCTAAGGACTGATTGCAGTGGCTGGAGCTTGGGCTCTTGTCTTAATCACTGGTCACTGAGTCTGAAAAGTCCCAGCTGAATTCTTGCCCTGAAATGCTTTTGCTGCTGTTTTTTTGCCCCTAGTTTCCATAAGATCCAATCACGAATTCTGTATCCTGGGACAGTCAGATTCTACTAAATTAGGCCAGCAAAGAGGGGAGAAGAATGAGAGAATGGTATTCCCAGACTTCTTCCTCTTGCCCCTTTTCCCAGCAGCTCTCAGACCAGATGTTGGCTGCTGTACTGACTCCCTGAGGTAGGGAATGTGTGGTGATTGAGTAGTCTGTGTTCCTATTGCTGGTGGGGTGATAGGGTGGGCTAAAAACCGTGCACTCTGGAATTGTATTTTCTCCCAGTAAAGCTTTTCCTCCCCCCAACTGCTGCTCTGTGTGGTATGTGGTCCATTTATTCACAATGGATGGTTTTTGCTCCTACTAATGTAGGTACCCAACCTTCCCCTCTCATTCTGCACACGATAGTGTCAGGGAGTCCATTTTGGGAGCCCCATATTTCCAGTGCTTGGGCTCCAATTGGAGACTGCAGGAAGTAGGATATGCTCCATTTAGCTCAGTGATACTCATGAGACTGGGTGGGGTGAGGGTATACACTTGGGGTATTTTCCCAGCCCTTCTTCTGGGCTGCATTGAGGAATATGGACATAAATACTGCTCCCCCTCCCTTCCCGGTGATTCAAAGGCTCCAAAATCGTGGTCACTCAGAAATTGTAAAATCAGTTAGTTACAGTACAATCAATTACCTTTATTCCGGGTTAGAACAAGGTCGTGCACACTGCAGACAGAAGAGCACAAGATAGGGGCAATCTCACAGCAATATAAGGAGTGGGTGGGCACGTTAGTCGTTTAAGATTATTTTGCCTTACAGAGAAACTACTAGACTCTGCTGAAAATAACCCTGTCTCTCTCCTCCCATTTCCTCCATAAGAAAGGCTCATTCTCTCTCTCACTCTATGTAACATACCCCAAATGGAAGGATGGTTCATGTTCATTCCCTCCATCCCAATTCTGCAATTATCTCTTCTTAAGGGAGAAGCTAGACAGGGAAAGAGAGACTTGGGAAGGTCCTTTAAGGCAAAACCGTGGAGTCCTAGAGGTGTGTGTGTTAAGGCAGGTGTCTGCAGCAGTGGCCAGAGGGGCAGGGCAGGCTAGGCTGGGCTAGGAGTTAAGAGTACTGTCTAACCAGTCTGGCTTCTTCCTTCTCCCAGCAGCCAGCCCTCCCCTCCCATTAAAGTTTTACTCCCACATCCTAAAAGCTCCTAACTTCAATTTTCTCTAAATAGTCTGAGACTGCATGTGAATTTAATGTTTTTTGAAAAAGCTTTCTTTTTTGTTTGGACTGTGTAGCAATTTCAATCTGCCACTCCCTTCACTGTGGCATTCCCCTCCCACCCCCGCTCTGGCCTAGACAATAAGTTAATGCTAGACACCACAAAAAGGGCAGACATGGCAGTGCAGTTTTAATATACATATATGTAGAATATATATGTACACACAGTTAGCACGGTCAGGGTGGGGAGGGCATCTTAGGGGTAGGCAGGAAGCTGGGGTCATTCACTGTTCTGTAGTGATTGGCTAGGAGGTGTTCACAAGCCCAGGGGCCAGGATATCTAGTAAAGAAGGGTTTCCTAAATCCCTTCCTGGATTGAATTGGGGTGAGGATCGGTGCAAAGGAAAACGCTGCAGTTAACTTCTTTCTGGCTTGGGATGTTCTCCACCAAGGAGCGAGGGAAGGTTGCCTGCAATAACCAAGTTGGGACCCTATTGGATGGTGGGGTCAGGATTCGGGTTAAAACCTAAGGATCTCATTCCTCAACCTCCCTAGGTTTAGAGTGCAACAGTCTAAGTAGGAACAACTGAGTGGAAAAGGGGGCTCCCCTCTCTCTGCCCTAATCCCCATCTCAGGCTCAGTGGTACATGTTCCCAGTACAGTCTCTCCAAAGTACAGGTGGCTAATGCTAGCTGCTCCATGGGGTTTAATCTTAGGGGCCAGGAAAGGATCCTGGCTCATGCCTATACTAGGCCCATGAGAGGCAGAAAGGGACCGGCTGGCACTCAAGCCCTCCCACCTGAGGAACAACAGGAAACAGCTAGTCCAGCACAGGAGTACAAACATGGAAGGCTGGCTTTTCTTTGCCCCTCCCAGGTGGAGGTTGAGCGGCCTCTTCGCCTTCCCTCCCCACTGCTTTTCCTTGGATCCACCTACCTCTCCCATACCTTACCCCCATGTTAGCTCCTCAGTGTAGGAAAATGCAGCTCCTTTCTGCTTCCACACTTTAAAGATATGAGGGGAGAATGGAGGAAAGGGAAGTAGGAGGAATGTGCTGATTTCTATTTGCATAGAAATAGCCCCCACCTCCTCCTAGAGTGGGGGAACTCAGCCCCCTCCCCTTGCCCCTGACTCCCATCCCCTCAAGAGGAGGAACTAGATGAGCTAGACATATAGACAGACAGCCAGAGCGTGCGCACACGCACACACACGCGCACAGTAAGGGGGTTAGGACCAGGTTAGTAAGTGGGTAGATGGGGGGGTGGCCCTTGCCCCCTCCTTTGGAGGATGGGGGGAAGGGAGTGGTCTGATGAAGGTCCAACCTTCCTCTTCTTCCTCCCCCTTGCTCAGGCCTTCTTCGGTGGGGGAGCCAATTTGATGATCTCTTCCTCAGAGGGCTGCCGGATAATGTCTGGGGGCAGAAAGGGATGTGTCCAGGGACAGCAGTGTGGGAAATGGCCAAGCAGGCCCATTGGGCATCAGCCTCCTCTCCCAAAACTCAAGTGCTCCAAGAACAGTCAACGGGAGGGGGCAGAGGTGCAGCTACATAAAGGAATGGCCTCTTACCTTTGTACTTCTTGGCACTGGGGATACGGGTTAGCTTGGTGTCCAGCTCATCCTCCTCAGAGATCTTCAGCACACGAGTTCTATAGTCAACCACCATAGTGAGTAGGTCAGGACGGCGGGAGATCTCAAAGATGTGCTCAATGTAGGAGAGGTTGTCTGGAGGAAGGCAGGAGACAGGGTCAGAGCTAGGCTGCAGAGGTCAGCTTCCCCTACTCCCCCAGACTGGTGACCTGGAACAAAGCTGAGTTGCTGACATTGGTTATGGGAGGACACAACATTGGAAGAGGGGCTACTAATCCAGGAAAAGAAAGTTAAGGTACCCAAACAATATGGAGGACCATTCCCAGGAAGGGCAGATAATTGGTCAGTGAAGTTTCTAGATTATGGTTAGAATGGGGGATTTAGCTTAGATACTGGCTCCCATATGTTGTGGGGAGGGGACAAAAGAAAAACTGACTTCCAGATACCCCCCCAAAACCCCCTTCCTCTTCCACTTTCCGTCCAAGTAAGGATCAGAATTTGCTGACAGCACATGTAGGACCAGCAGGGTAGAATCTCTAGGCAGCCCAGGAGAGATTCTGGGTCTGGTGAGAAAGGTTATTCCAAATGAGAGAAGGTATGGACACCACCAGAAGGATGATGTCCATGGTTTGGCCAGTCCCAAGAGATTACAGATGCCCTTACATCTTCTTCCCTGGCTCCTCCCCGCTGACTGTTGCCATAGTCTAAATGTAATATGTCCTCCTTTATACTTCCTCCCTGCTAGCCACACAGCAGTCAGAATAGTCTATCTGAAGGGCCCTGAGTTCACTCACCTTACCTATCCAATACCCAGGCTCTCTACAACACAGTCTTACCTTACCTTCTCAGCCATTTCTAAACACCCTACATCCCAGTCAGGCCAAGCAGAACTGCTTGCATTTCCAAACACACTAGATACTCTGTGACAGTGTTCCTCTGCCTGGCATGTCCTCCTTTGCATCCTGCCTTAGAAATCCCACTAACCTTTTAGGGCCATCTTAAACAGCAATTCTTCCCTAAAGCCTCCAGCGGTGTGGGATTACTCTAATCCACAGGCCCCACTCCCCAAGCAGTAGCCTCTCAAAGTGGATAACTTGTAGTTTCATTTTAAATTTTACCAGATTTTAAAAAGTGCTTAAGTCCTGGCACGGTGGCTCACTCCTATAATCCCAGCACTTTGGGAGGCTGAGGTGGGTGGATCACAAGGTCAGGAGATCAAGACCAGCCTGACCAACATGGTTTAGTCTCTACTTTTGTATTTTTAGTCTCTACTAAAAATACAAAAATCAGCCAGGTGTGGTGGTGTGTGCCTATAATCCCAGCTACTCAGGAGGCTGAGGCAGGAGAATTGCTTGAACCCAGGAGGCAGAGGTTGCAGTGAGCTGAGATCATGCCATTGCACTCCAACCTGGACAGAGTGAGACTCGTCTCAAAAAAATAATACAAAATTTTAAAAAATAAAGTGCTGCTTGTGAAAATGCTGAAAAAAACAAACAAAAAATAAATTTTAAAAAATAAACAGTGCTTAACAAAGGTTAATATTGCTACTACCAGGTTAGATTACACTTCCCAGTTCTCCCCTCATTCAGGTATTCTTCCATTTTTATTGTCTAGAATTCTTCCCAATTTTGCTCACTTAAAATTTTACCATTTAAAAAAAAATTTTTTTTTTTTTACCATTTTTAGATTGTTTTTATGTTCTGTTGTGTATGAAATAATAGCAGAGGAGTATCTGAATAACATTTTTTACTGATGAGGGGCACAATGGATAGTGTCTAAGGCCCCCATACTCTTAGAGCACCTCTCTTCTGCCTTGCTACAGAGGGGTACGCATTATACACATAACAGCTTTAAGCTCATCTCTATTTGCTGAATGAACTGAGCCTGAAAGACTGATGACAGGACCCCTGTGCTCCCCTCCCGCACCTTTGTCGAGCTTGTTGTGGCTCTCCAAGAAGCTAAACCAGGCACTGCCAGTAGTAATCTCCTCACTCTTTTCGCTGGGGATGTCCTCCTTGCAGGCCGACTTGAGCTGTTCTAGATCTTCAAGGGTGATGTTGTTGGTCAGGTCTTGTAGGAGGGTCCCGTACTCAGCCATGACTGGGGTTGGGAGGCGACAAAGGGATAGGAGTTGAGCTTAAGGTATGCAGTCTGGTTTACTCATTGGCACTACCCTCCTACTCCCAACTCTGCCCTACCAGGTATGTGCCTGTAACATGGAGGCTGGAGGTGGCTAGGGCTGGAGGGAGAAAAGGAAGACCTAGGGGAGGTGGTGGGGGTAGACAGGAAGTTGGAGCCAGGCTAGGGCCCAGAGTGACAAGTCATACCTCCTTTCCCCCACCATCTTTTTCTTCTGTTTTCCCCCTCTAACAGTAACCCTGGCAACAGTTCCCCTGACTGAGGAGGCGGTTACCATAGCAACCTGCTCCCGACTTTCTCATCGGCTCTCTCCAAGTCCTCCCCCCCACCCCACCCCACCCCCCACAAGAATCGCCCCACCCACCTCAAACCCCTCCCCATGTCAGGAAAAAAAACTCCAAAACAGTCAGGGTGAGGCTTGCTGTGGCAGTGAGAAGCTGAGAAGGAGGTGGAGGGCTTGGCAGGTGCTCACGTGTTCTAGCTTTCCATTCTGCCTCAGAGGGAAGGGGGTCCCTCACTTCAACTCCCCACCATTCCACTAATGACTCATTTTGGATGGATGCCTATTTGCTTGGTCTGATGGTTCCTTGGCCCCTCCATGCTAGCCTTGTATTCAGTCATTAGGGCTCGAGGTGGGGGAAGCAATCAACACCCCCACCTTTGTGGAGCCCATTTTCTCCCTCGATAGTTACCAGGCCCCCACTCAACTCTCTCTCCTACCCTTTGTGCTGTGCCTGCAGCCCCCGTGCCCAAGAATACCAAGCGGCTGGCTCTGGCGCCCTGCCCAGTTCCCAGACTGGCTGGGTGGTGGGGGAGGGGACTTTAGATGCGGCTTTGGGAGAGTGGCAAAAGGGGACTGCCCCACTTCTTGCATCAACATCCTACTGGGGCTACCTTCAGCATGGTCTGATGAGATCAGCAAGGCCAGATCTCACCTAGGCCTTCATCCCATCCCTCTTTCATGATTCTTAGGTGAGAAGTAGGGAACATTCAAGGCCTTCCTTCCACTAAGCTAGGAACTGTGGCTAAGACAGAAGAAAGGTCAGACGTTTGAATGAGCTTTCTGGATTTGATAAAATGTGACACTAGTGGTGAGCTCAAAAATGGAACTGATTTCCACAATGAGTATCTATTCTAGTCAGAAAAGTAAAGCACTTTTTAGAAAGTAAATTGTAAACACTCTATATGCAACTAGACCAATGGGTGGGCAAGCAGCAAGATGACCTTGTCCATGACTGAGGCTGCCCGCAAATCACCCAGCATTAGGCTGGGAATGTGGCAGATCAAAGTGGCCTGGGTGACACACATTTTCCTTCCTTCTTGCTCTACTGAAGGGGAACTGAAATGGATATGGCCATCACAGAATAAGAGATGCGGACCCATAAGTCCCCATTCCCAGCCCCCTACTTAGACCAGAATAAACAAGCCTCCCTTGGTGGCAGGCACCGTGACACAAACAGACAATAAGCCAGACAGCAGGCCACCATGACCCCCGCAAGAAACAGGCGGTCATAGGCATGCTCAGTTGCACACCCAGGTGCAACCAGACAGAAGGGCCCAGCAGTGGCCCTGCCAGGCAGGGCCAGGAACAATGCTCTCTGACTGTCAGCACCAGGAACTGTCTCTGCCTTGAAATCTAGGTCACAGCAGCAGGCTCGAGCCCAACCCCCATCACTCCACTGATAATCCAAGGACAGAAGGAGGGGGATACGGGTGAGAGGAATGATGAGGAGAGGACTAGAGATGGAGATAAGAAGAGCGGGGGGCGTGAGTAGAGCTGGAAGGGAAAGTGCAGCAGGAGACAAGAAGACCCTGCCCCAGTGGAGGAAACTCTGGGCTAAGCCCTCAGCTGGAAAGGGGGGCACGATTTGGGGTTACACCACCCTGCTTTCACATGAAAGAGTTTGTAAATACGACAAATCCTGTGAGAGGAAAGAGTGTGTGCGTTGTGTGTGTGTGTGTGTGTGTGTGTGTATGTGTGTTGGGAGGAGTTAAGATTTAGGGCTTTGAATCTAAAACAGATCTACAGAGGAGGTAGGCGGGAAGAGATTAATGTGTGTAACATACTCACCCACAAAGACTTGGGGGCAGTGGGTAGGAGCTTTCTAAGAGAGTGAAAGATACAAGGAGGCCCCTAAAAGAAATGGGGGTGGGAATGTTAAAGTGGTAGAGGAGAAATGTGTGTGTGCTGGGATCCTAGGGATGCTAATCCCTGGGTTGTGGGCACAGCTCTGTGGAGGAGGCAGTGGCTGGCTATCCGGGTGTGTTTGGATGTTCTGGTAATGGAGGTGTATGTGCCAGCATTGGATATGTGGCTGTGGGTGCACTGGCTGTGTGTGTGTGTGTGTGTGTGTGTGTGTGTGTCTAAACTAGCCAAGGGCACATGTAAGAAGGCATATAACCACAGGTTCACATCCAGAGGGGTGAGGGGAGCCTACAGAATGGAGGAAGAGAGCTGGAGTTGGGAGACAGAGACTAAGGCTGCAAATGAGGCATGGGGGGCGAGGAAGAGGAGAGCACATGGTCCACAACTATAGAAGGCTGTAGCCTCAGCTCATCTGTTACTATAGCAACCTCAGTTCTGGGTCCCCTCAACCCAAGTCATTAGGACAATAACATCACTAGATGGGAGGGGCGTGGGGAATGGTGAGTAAGAAGGGACAGAAATGATAGGAATAAGGCCCCCTAAGGGTACAAGGAAAGGCAGCCCCACTGCCTCCCTTCTTGGAGAGATCTATTTGCGTAGGCCTGAGTATGACAGAAGAAGCATGGGCAGTGTTGTTTGGGGGAACTGCTCTCAGGTCTCACTGATCAACTACTGTCCCTGGCTGGTCTGCCCATGGTGGGGCTTGGCAGAGCTTGTTTCCTCATCCTCCATGTCACCTTCCTCACCAGAGATTCAGATTTCCTTAGGGCCTGTGGAGAAATCTGCTTTCTGGGATCTGAAAAATCCTCCCGATCTTTGGAGCAGTGCAGAGAACTGCTCAGTGATCATCAGGCAGCCTGGGCGGAGACCATTCGTGGGACAGGATACGAGGGCAGGAATCAGGAACTGGAGCCCCGGCTGCCAGGAAGTCAGTCCTCTTCCCTCCCAGCTTTCTGTGCTCGGCTCACCGCTTCCTCACACCTTCCTTCCTTCCTGCCTCCCTCTCCTTCCAAGCTGGCCCCCGGCACAACCCTGACAAAGGTCAAACCAACTGAGGATGCTGGGGAAGAGGGGCAGGAGGTAAGGATCATCATATACTGACCTTTTAGGGTGGGGCAGGTGGGAGCTCCATGGGCACTGGGGTAAGAAGAGCTGGGCCCTGCCAGTGCTTTGAGAAGCCTGGCAATTGGGATAACCACCTGTGGAGGAGGCGGCAGCACGAAAAGAATTTCTGTGCCTTTTGACAATAGGTGGTGGTAGATTATCCCTTCTCTCTAATGTTTGGTTCCAAATCCTCTGTGAATTTGAGAAGGAAGCCTGAAGATTAGGAGTTGCACCCCTCCCTCCTCCACATCTGTTGCAGCTGCCTCAGGCTGAGGGGAGGGGCCATCCCACCCCTCAGCTAGAGGTCCCTGTATTGGGCAGGAGGGGACTTCCAGGCACTCAAGTCTGTCAGTCTTTTGCCTGAAGCTGGAAGTAATCACGAGAGGCAGAGGGGTTGGAAGGGAGAGAGTAGGGGTTCAGCTTTCCTATTTTAAATTATACCTGGGCCCCAAATTAAAGCAGTCCTATAGTTTATTTTCTTTAATATCATACTTAATTGATTTATTCTTTAAGCTTTTATCCAGCTTTACTGGGGGGCTGTCTTTATTCCTGTAACAAGGAAATTGGGGGTTCTCAGGCTCGAGGGTCAGCCTGGAAGTGAGGAGAGGCAGGACCCCTGGGCTCCCAAATGTTCACTTCAGTCCAAGAAGGAACATGGATTACCTGTGGGCATGGGGACAGGGATTAGCCTTCAGCCCTTAGTCTAGAGAAGAGCCAGACCCAGGATGGGGCATCAGGAGGAAGGGAATGGGGCCTATGACTCTCCCAGCCCACCTCTCTCTCCGCTCTTCTGCTCTGGCACTCCCTGCCTCTATTTCCGTTTCTCTCCATCTCCCTTCATCATCCATATCCTTTCCCCCTAATCCTTCAGTCTCTCTATTCCTCCTTTCCTTTCTATAGGCTTTTACCCCTTCTAGCATGTCCTACTCACCTATCCAACTTAGCAGTAGCCATGAATATGTAGGACTTCTGAGATCTGTGCTTTCCCATCTGAATACTCAGAGCTACAATTAGGAAGGGGTGAGCATCCCTGCTACACAAAACACAAGTTTGGTGGGAGTGGCCTGGAGATTCAGTGGTTGGCTGCCTACCAGCTGGTGAAGATATCCATCGTGACACTGCGCATGAGGATCTGTGAGGGTCCGTGTGAGTGAGGCGCTGTGATTCCGTGACCCTCTTCATACATGATAATACATGCATACACGACAGGCACGGAAGTGAGGAAGTAGGCGACCAGGGAAGCCTGCAGCCTGGGGCATCACTGGCAATTTCCCCAATGGAGTATTTAACTACAAAGGGAAGCGCAATTAAAGCTAATCGCTCTGACAGCCTGGGGCCCAGACACACAAACCTCTTTCCCTAACTCCCAGTGGTTCCCCCCACCTTCACCCTCCCTAATGTGTTTAGTCCATTCTCCAGCACTCTTTGCACTTCTCTGACCATCTCCGTCTCTCACTTCCTCCCTCTCCCTGGTTCCCTGACTATCTCTGGACCTCTCTGGAGATGTCTGTCTGCTTCTCACACACATTCCTCTCATTCTCTCTGACTTGGGCTCCATTCTTGGCTGACTCATACTCATTTTCCTCTCCATTTCTTCCACCCCCTCCTCCTCCATCCCTTGGCCACTCTTACCCAGAAACTAGCCACTCCCAGCACCCTAAACCCTAACTGGACCCAGGAAGAGAGGCCACCAGAAGCCCCTACTCTCATTAGCCCCCAAAATCCTGTCTCCTTGTTTTAGAGGAATGATACTAAGATTTTCTCCTATCTTTCCCCACTGTTTTTAAAGAGGAACAATCTGCAGCCAGGGGCTGGGAAAAGCTGTCAGAAAATCAGGATGGACTTGGGGACAGTGGCCCTTTCTGTCCACTCAGCTGTCCTGCTGGACTGATGACTTGGAACCCGCAGTTCAGAAGACTCCTCGTGGGATGCCCCACCCCACAGAGTGGGGGTGTGGTGGGTGGCCGGATGCGTAGTGCAGGGACGTTTGTGATTTGAAGTGTGCTAGACGATGTGTATAAGTCACATGGCTGTGTGTCACTGTGTGTGCTGGCGTGCCTTATAGGTGTGCGTGTTTCCTTGTCAGTTTTGACACGGATTCTATGAAATTAATAAGGGTTTTTCCGTTAGATACATCACTCCTCTACACCCCCAGCTCCTCCTTCCCTCTGGACAAGCTTTCCGCCAAGCCCACCTCTACCCCAGCTGCAGCGGGCCGGGGGTGAGGGCACACGGTACCAGCCGTCCGCGGAACCGAGACAGGGCTGGGCCGAGAGACCGCCAGGGAGGCGAGTCCGAAGCCAGGGCGGGGAGGGAGGGGCGGGCGCCGGCCTGGCCGAGCCGGCTGGGCGGGAAGCAGGCTGCATCCTAATCCCCAGGCCCCGGTCCGACTCCCGAGCCGCAGCTCAGCGTGGCCGGGCTGGCCGGAGCCACGCCGCCTCCAGCACACGCTCGGCGCTCGGGACGCACCGACCACGGGACGGACCCCGTGGGGCCTGACTGACACAGGCGGACCCGTCCGGGGTCCCCGCGCTCCCCGTCCGGCCCCCGGTGTCCCGGGTCGTCGCCCCTCCAAGCCGAGACCTCCACATCTGCCCCTTCCCGCAACACGTCTCCTCCCCGCCCCTCTCACCGCCTCTGGAGCTGAGCGCTCAGGGCGCGGGCACTCCTGAGTCCCCGGTTCCCGAGCAGCGTCCGGAACCTCCTCTTCGGCTCCCGCCGCCGCCGCCGCCGCTTCAGCCGCCGCCGCCGCCGCCTCTTCCGCCCGCGGAGCCCGAGCCCGAGCCCAGCGCCGCTCACTCCACCCGGCTGGCCGGTGATGTCAGAGCCGGGGAGGGGCGGGGGGCGGGGAATGGCGTGGGGGGGGGGAGGGGGGAGGCAGGAGGGGGCGGGGGACCGAGGGGCTGGGGTTCTGGAAGACTCCTAGGATGGGGACAGAATTGGGCGGAGGGCTGGAGCACAGGCGGACTCTTCCCCCTGAACTGCGAAGCAATCCTCATATTTAATTCCTTCCCAGCAGGGCACCCTACTCCCCTTTTGACCTTTGGATGACCACGGTGGCTAGGACCCCTGGGAAGCACAGAATAAGTTCAGTTAAGGGGTTTGGAAAGCCTTTGGGGACTGGATTCTCTTAGTTGCCGGCTTTGGTATTTGTAAAAACTTCTTTCCTTGCCTTAAGGGTCAGGGGCGCCGTGGTAAATGACTGATCAGACTTATCCACGTTGGGAGTGAAGGTAGGGGGGTCCGGGCCACATAGGGACTTGAGGAGCCCTGGATCTTCTCTTTCCAGGGTGATGCCTGCAGGGCCTCTTGTGTTCCTCTCACCTTTCCCAAACATGCCCCACTCCTGCCTTCCCCCTACCATGATGTAATTTTATTTTCTGGGGAGAAAAAGAGCAGCAGTGAGCTCAGCATGCAAATATAGACAACTTGCAGAGCCACACTTAGCTCCGTCTCCTAGTTCTGCCCCTCTGCCCAGGCCCACTGTGGCAGCTCTCACTTCCCCTCTACCCCAGGGACTTTCCTCCCCCAGACTCTCAGCCAGATTGAAAGAGGAAAGGGAGAATTGGAGAAGCATCTGTTTTCACCCTCATCTCTAGCCTAAGGGGTTCTGCCTCAGCTCTGGGCAGGGTTTGGCCCTGGAAATAATTCTGTCCCGGGGTGGGTCTTTCCTGCCAAGAACTCCAGCAGGCCCAGGTTGGGGGATCCTCTCAGTGTTTGTGCCACTTACAGGATCACCCCATCTCGCCTTAGTTTCAACCTGGTGGAGACTCCTCCAGAAACCTCCGATGAGCCCCTCCTTTCTCTGGTCCACACCACTCCTAGAAGAGGCTCAAGTTCCTGCTGCTGTGGGCTTCACAGCCTTTCTCTGCCGTTTCCTCTCCCTAGCATTCCCTGGCACACCGTAATCATTTGCCTTTGTATATATCGTGTTTGCTCAAAAGCTATTTCCTTGTAGTTTCTAAGTGAAAGGCTCGGGTCTGGAGACAACAAGACACTGGGCCTTGGGTGTGTGCTAGCTCCACCCCTTCCTTGGACAAGTTATACCTGAAGCCTTAGCGTCCTCGCTGGTCAGATGAGGGTGCCAGTGCCTATTTCTGAGGGTTCTTCCAAGATTCAGAAATACTTAAGTCTCTAGGGACTGGCACAGATGGGTGCTTAAAAAATAGGAGCCATTATTTAGACCAGGGCCTTCCACTGACCTATGCTAGAGAGCCAACAATATTATTGTAATACTAGCTTAGCGCCCATACTACTTATTAAACATTGATAAATAGGTACAGTTGGAATGAATACAGTTTCTACTTTCTACACTCCTGCCACCTTCTCTAGGAACACTTCCTGGACTTGTCTGTGGAGAGTGAAAATACATCAATCTCAGAGCTCGTCTTTCCATACTTAGAAATCTTCTAAGTCTCCCAGCAACAACTTTACACCTGATCCATGAAAAATATAATGTTGGCCGGGCACGGAGGGCACACGCCTGTATTCCCAGCACTTTGGGAGGCTGAGGTAGGTGGATCACCTGAGGTCAGAAGTTCAAGACCACCCTGACCAACACGGTGAAACCCCGTCTCTACTAAAACTACAAAAAATGTTAGCCAGCATGGTAGCAGGAGCCTGTAGACCCAGCTACTCGGGAGGCTGAGACAAGAGAATCACTTGAGCTCAGGAGGCGGAGGCTGCGTTGAGCCGAGATCGCTCCACTGCATTCCAGCCTGGGCGACAAAGTGAGACTCCATCTCAAAAAAAAGAAAGAAAGAAAAATATAATATGTATTATTTATGGGCTTGTTTAGCTATTTGGCCCTCCCGTACCACACCCCTGAAACTCCTTTTTGCTTACCCCAGCCTGGGCCTATACTGGAGAGACTGTGGGTCCTTCTTGCCAAGACCTGCAGCAGGCCCAGGTCTGGGAGACACCCATTGTATACAGTATCTCTTCTCCATTCCCATGACCACCACCTCTCCCAACATCACGCTAATTTTTCTAACAGTCACTGATTATGAGTTGGGCCACTTGCCTCTGGCATCTCCATCACCTCCCCATCCTGCCTATCACCACTGGATTAAATTTTGCCCTGCCTCCTCAGCTCTAGGAATTTGATTCAAACAGCTCTACAACCCAGCTCCATTATGCTTACCCAACTGAGTGGCCACGACTTGAATTTCTCTTCTGGTCCGTCTGGTCTCTGTGCCCCCAATACGACAAACACATCCTGCCAGAGCTTGCTGTTTCCACTGACTAAGATGTCTCCTCCTCAGCTCCTCTGTCTCCAACCAAATCCCATTCTTCAATTTAAGGCCTAGTAAAGGCTTACTTCCTTTGTGAAGTCCTCAAGTCCATTCTGTTCTTTCCTTTGTTCTTCCTTTAAAAAGCATTTATTGGGTGCGGTGGCTCACGCCTATAATCCCAGCACTTTGGGAGGCCGAGGCGCGTGGATCACAAGGTCAAGAGATCGAGACCATCCTGGTCAACATGGTGAAATCCCGTCTCTACTAAAACTACAAAACTTAGCTGGGCATGGTGGCGCAGCCTGTAGTCCCAGCTACTCAGGAGGCTGAGGCAGGAGAATTGCCTGAACCCAGGAGGCGGAGGTTGCGGTGAGCCGAGATCGAACCATTGCACTCCAGCCTGGGTAACAAGAGTGAAACTCCGTCTCAAAAAAAAAAAAAAAAATTTATTGGAGACAACTTTTGAGTGTCAGACCCTGTACACACAAAGAAAAAGCTTGGGTTCCTGCCTTCAAGGGGCTCACAGTTGAGTGGGGAAGACAGACGTGTAAGTGAAGAACAATAACAGACTGGTCTGAGGACTGGAATGGAAACGCATTGGGAACTCGGAAGAGATCATCGCTGAAGGGACCACCTCTGGGAAGGCCTCACCAAGGAAGGATAATCGGAGCTCAGTCTTAATGTTCAAATAAGAGCTGCAGGGAGGGTGCCATCCAGCAGCACATAATCACTTAATTACATATTGCTTTGTATTTTTCTGCGATTGTTTGGTGGGCTTGTCTTGACTTCTTGGTGAGGCTAATCAGCTCAAGAGCAGGGACAGGCCTGGCACTCTCTGTTCTCCCAGAGCCTAACAGCAGCCCTGGACAAACACCATGTGTTCAGAAAAGGCTTGTTGACTTGAAGAGATAAATAATCCAGGCTTCTCTGGGAAAGCTGCCTGAAGGAACCCCAGCCCCCCCCAATCAGAGTCCCCCAGCTCATCCCTGGCAAGGCACCCACATCTAAATCCCCCCCCCCGTCAGAGGCCACCTCCTCCTGCCATAGGGGTGAGACTTCATCAACATACACTTGTTCATGCTGCCCCAGATGTCTTTATTGAGGCCTCTCATTTGACCCAAATACATTAACAAGTGATTGCTGAGATACAGTCCCAAGCTAAGTATCCTCTCTTCCTTCTGGCCAGGGACACAGGATTAGAAAGAGTGAGGGAGGGCTGTGCATAGACGGAGGGAACAGAACAGAGATAGGGCCCGTATATATGGCTAAAGGAGAATCACAAGAAAGAGTATGCGGAGCGATGGAACAGACACATAATAGATGAAAGTAAGTTATGGGATAAGAAACAGAAGTCAGATGAGAGAGAGCTGGGCTGGTGTCTAGGGAAAAGTAGCTCCTTTCCTCATCAATGGAGGGGGATCAGGGTCTCAGCAACCAGTGCATAGACCTCAGTTAGCTCAATGGCAGAGAATAACCTAGTGTCCCTGGAGGAACTCAGGGAAGGACAAGGGAAGGCAGGAGAGAGCAAAAAACATCAGTGGGGCTGAAAGATGGTTGCCGCAGCAACTAGTCATCGTCGTCGTCGTCGTCATCGTCATCGTCGTCATCGTCCTCTGTGTTGATCTCACCCTCTAGCACATCCTCCAGCCAGTCCTCCAGCTCCTCAGCAGAAGGCAAGTCCTCCTCGTCGTCCATTTCCATCCATATGCTATCCGCCTAGGAGATGGCGCAGGCAGGGGATGGAAGGTAAGTCCCGCCCAGGTCTTTGGATCCGTCCTCCCACTCACTGGACTCTGTACATCCTTCCCTCCTTCCTCAGTCCCTTCCTTTCATCTACCAGTGGCCAGGGAGACTGTCCAGGTGAAGGTATGTGTTCGAATCGTGACAGGTGAGGCTGGGAAGAAAAGCTGGATTGCAAAATAGACCTTCTCCCTTCAGTCTGTCTTCCCTGCTCTTGCCACACTGAACTTCCCTGTCATGCCTTTGCTGCAAAACCACTGGTAGCTCTTCATGGCCTGAGAATAAAGTCAGCAACTCTTCAGCATTCAGGATGTGTCTTTCTTTCCTTAATTTTTTTCTAAAAGAGACAGGGTCTCACTCTTTTGCCCGGGCTGGAGTGCAGAGGTGCAGTCGTGGATCACTGCAGGCTTGAACACCTGGGCTCAGTGATCCTTCCCCCTTGGCCTCCCAAAATGCTGGAATGACAGGCCTGAGCCACCACCCCTGGCCCCAGGGCTTTTCACAACCTGCTTTTCTAGTATCGTTCTCAGTGATCTCTAGACTCTCAGCCATAAGAATCTACCTGCCTTTTCCTGAACCTAATATTCATTTTCCTTCTTTTGACCTTTTGATCTTGCTCTTTCCTCAGTTTGGAACTGACTTCCCTGAATCATCACTAGTTGAAATCCTATACGTTGGGCGTGGTGGCTCACGCCTGTAATCCCAGCACTTCGGGAGGCCGAGGCAGGCAGATCCCCTGAAGTCGGGAGTTCGAGACCAGCCTGACCAACATGGAGAAACCCCGTCTCTACTAAAAAATGCAAAATTAGCCGGCACAGTGGCACATGCCTGTAGTTCCAGCTAT